TAGCATTTGCGCTTAAACCACGCGCACACATAACAGACTGTAAAGTTACATTAATTACAGCATGTACTTCAGTTTTAATAATCTAGCAAATGATAATGTACTAGTCATTCTGTACCGCCTCTAACGCAAAAATTCGGGTGTCGATCCTTCCGGTGGGCACAGAACATATAGGTGAGTGTTTAGCATTTGCGCTTAAACCACGCGCACACATAACAGATTGTAAAGTTACATTAATTACAGAATGTTACATTTGCAACATTATTTTTACAACGAAGTAGGAAGGTCGTTTTTGTAGTATTGTTTATGACGTTTTAGTTATGCAAACCTTGTTCTCCTGGCAACTACTTGACTCACAAACAGTCCCTACCAATAGCTGATGTTCAGATATTGGCTATATCCTAGTCAGTTGGGGTCTAACTCGTATAATCTTCAGAGGTAGGGTGGATATCACTGAGCATAATTTATTCTTATGATTTTTTTAAGTCTGCAGGGTTCCATTTAGATTCATTTTATTCAGTATTGTACCAAGTTTTTCAGGGTTCTTATGCAAAACTAGAATACTTCATAATGCAAGATTTACTCTTGCGATGTTTTTATGATTGTTAGGATATACGGTTTAGAAATTGAATTTCTGTGCAAGATTCCGTTTAATTATAACACTAGTTCAGTTACAGTGTAGTGTACCAGGAACTTGTCGAGTGTTAACACTAGCAAGTTAGTGTAATGTATGAGGAACTTGTCGAGTGTTAACACTAGCTCAGTTACAGTGTAGTGTACCAGGAACTCGAGTATAACACTAGCTGTATTACAATGTAGTGTACCAGGAACTTGTCGAGTGTTAACACTAGCAGAGTTACAGTGTAGTGTATGAGAAACTAGTCAACTATTAACACTACAGTGTAGTGTACCAGAAACTTGTCGAGTATTAACATTAGCTGAGTTACAGTGTAGTGTATGAGAAACTAGTCTACTATTAACACTACAGTGTAGTGTACCAGAAACTTGTCGAGTATTAACATTAGCTGAGTTACAGTGTAGTGTATGAGAAACTAGTCAACTATTAACACTACAGTGTAGTGTACCAGAAACTTGTCGTGTGTTAAAAGAGTTTAATATTGCACTCTGATTATTTTGTTTATTGGACAAGAAATATTACGTTGATGAAAAGTGGTTCTTGCAGATATTGGCGAGTTCTCCCCCCCCCCCCCCAAGATATTTTATAGATGTGAATGCCTTAATATTTTAAACCACAGCTTTTTTCAACTCTATATCTGTTGCTAACCGAATAGCTCAGTACAATCCCCACGTTGTTTCGTATGGCATGTTTAACATTTCTCAGCGGATAAAGTTTCATTTTGTGTTTTATTTTGACACGTGATGGTGTCCAGCTTCAACGCGGTATTAACAACACAACGTAGTAGGTAAGTTGATAACGGCCGTTTTTTATTTGTAAGTTTTTACTGCGTAAGAAGAAATGTTATCTCTCGAAAACCCTCTTACTCCAAGCAGATGGCAAACAGCCAATTCTGTCAGAAACTGAAGCTGCATATATTATTACCTATTTATAAAAACACTGGAATACTAACAGCCACACTGTTTAACATTCCTGCTGTAACCGAATCAACAACGCATAGACTTGAGGTTGAGGACAGATTTAAAAATAAGTTCCAAACTGAGGAGGTGTCGGGATGTTAAATAAATAAATGGACAAACGTGGTTGTAGATTAAAATAAATTAACACAGCTATTAACAAAAAAGTAGGATCTTTGCTAGGACTTTAACATGTGGACAAGAATATTCCTGTCGTGTTACGTATTTGGTTGGGGTGATTTCTAGCGGTCACGTTGTTTGGTGTATGACTATTATCAATGTGACTTCATTTTCTCACTTTCTTGCTAGTTAACTGCACATTGCAACAGATTGGAGGATTTCGATCCTTAGGGAGCGAATCTGTGAAATACAGATGTTCTTGTTTGTCTGGACTATCAGGGTCCCTATTAGAAAATATCCTAACAAGTGCGTGAAGTTACACTGTATTAAGGTTTGTATGAATTGGAAACTACTTATTCAACTCGTACATCCACTTTCTTTGGGCTCATAAAAGTTTTATGAAACGAAAACCGTAGCTGTAAGAGAGTAGAGAAATCTATCGTTTGCCAGAAATCGTGTATCGAAAATTGCTAAAATAATATCTCGGATCTTAATAAATATATTTTTAATTTTATAACTGGTCAACGTTATAAACATGAAAGATCTTGGTGACTGTGTGGTTTTTAAAAACTTCTCAGCCTACGTGAAAATGACTTTAATATTAACAACACAAGAAATCACAAATCTAGGGTGACCACATTTCAAAACCGAAAAACCGGGACAGCCAGCTAGCCCTTGCCCCTAATTTCAAAATGGTTATTACAGATTTGAAATAATTTAACTTTTATTTAATTTACTCTAAACTTATTGAACTATTCCATAATATTTCTAAATATATTAATAGTGGTATTGTTTTTGAAATAATTTCGACTATTAGTTTTGGTTGTTACGTATCTGCTTGTTTGATAATTTCCCATAAAAATTCTTTCCGAGAAACTTCAGCGATACAAGTCCTTTCTTAATTAAAACTAGTTTATTATTTTTCGATACAACTTTATAATACACAGAATTTCCACAGTCACTTTAACTTAAACATATGCTATAATTCACAACGATTCACGCACTTTACTTACGTTCACTACCACTCACTTGACTCAATTATCTGTCTTTATCTCCATCTATATGCAATTCTTCGCTTTATTTGCCGGGCTTATATACTAAAATAGAGAGCTTTTAGAAAAGACTAGAGTTACCAGGAACAGTCATGATCTTTCTAGAAACTCCAGCACGCATGCTTCCAGCGTCACATGACTTCCGCTGTCATAACATGGTGATAGACACAAAACAAAACAGCAAAAATAATAAATTATACATCCAAGAAATCTTTAATTATTCACTTAATCCAATTCATTTTAAAATAGGCTACTTCATACTTGAATCCATACCATTTTGAGACACCTGCTTTTAGTTTTTAGAATGACTCAATTTTTTAGATTTATTTTGTTCAAGAATGAATGGAACTTAGAAATTCTGTTTTTCTTATTAAGTAGTCATAGCATTCAGTACATGACGGTGTATGGTATTTTTTAACGATGAGCACTGCCTTAACTGTCTCCACATTCAGGCCTGCACATACGTAATAAATTTTAAAATTTACAAATGAGATAGCACTGAAAGTAAGTAAGCCTAATAGTGATCTTCAAACTGAACAGATAAATATGTAACTTCCTTTTTAAAGACAAAATACCTCCTTCCAAAGAATTGTTGGTGGTGTATCAATACATGTGTTCATGCCTTAGGCATGGCTACATTTGGTGAATGACATGAACCCTAGCTATTAGAGTTAAGAAGCATGTATAAAACAGCCCTTCCAACAACTCTGGAATTTACAACCATTTAAGCAAAGTTTGTAGTTATAAGCCTAACACTGAACACTTCAAAATAACAGACTCAGTGACAGATAAATGGACATTAAGGAAACAGGAAGCACTCCTGATTCTAAACTTAAAACCAAAGCTGAACAAACAGCTAATGACAACACTGGATCTGAAACTGTGATAAACTCATCATGCCTGAGATGGGCTAAGAGTGAAAACTTTGTCTAACAATCAAATGTCAATATCTATCTTATATGCACCTAAAGAAAGTCTCTTAGCTGAAGACATCAAATTTTACATGAAGAGTTTTTACAATTAGAAGAGCAGTCCAAGAAAAATCCAGGATAATATTGGAACCTTATAATGTAGGAAAGGAACACAGCTTGAAATGTGCTGTATGTACTTTAGTTGTATTGATGGAGAAGAGATTCTTAATCTAACAAACGTTTTCAAAAGTTGTGGAGGAACTTTTCATAAATTTTAAATTTGGGTGGTCTTAGGAGTTAGACAGGAATGTATATAACACATGTCACTTATGTAGTAATGTATCTATTTCATCAAGTACATCTGGTTAAATCTATACTTTTCCTGATGTAACTAAAAGATTTATCTTTCTCAACGGCTAAATTGTAATATTTATCCCCAGAGATTTACATATTATATCAGGTGACAGAAAGAACTTTTAAAATGAATTGTGACAGATTAAAATGAAACACCAATCTAAGAAACAACATGTTTCATTAGTGGTTTAAAGGAAGTACCAGGTTGTAGTTTTTAAGAAAAATTTGTGATTTTTAAACCATGCCAGAAATATGTTAGAATTTAATTGTGTAGTATTCAAAGGGCTGGTGTCAAATCTGGTAACTAATTGACTCATTTGTTCAGAAACTGTATTAGTAACAAACAGTTTACGAGACATGAGATTAAACACAAACTTATCATCATTATTCAAAATGCTCTACTATGTAAGCTGCTATATTTGTTTGAAGTTTAGTCATTAAAATATATGAATATTGAGGATATTTTCATGTAGTATTAGTAATCATGTTATAAATGTTGATTACATTGTTTTGTGTACAACCATCTGTAGAACATAGGAGTACATAATATGAAATATAGACTTAAATTTGTATGTATACAATACCATAGGAACATTAACCAGTTTAGTGACTCTAAGAGTTCAGTATACTTTAGACTGAGATAAAACATACTTATAACGATGTGAAAACTGTGTAGTACCTTGTATTTTAAGTTTGATATATTCCTTCTAGTGTTAATGCCTGTAAGTTAGATTATCAAGGCTACAACATTAAATAAAAGTTGTTCTGAACAGTAAGCTTTTTGTGGGAGATAAAATCAGACTAGAACACTGATCTGAAAAGTAGATTTTCTCTACGAGATAAGAACAGTTTAGAAAACTTGTTTAAACAGTAGGATGTATACAAGACAAGTTCAGAGTAGACAGATAGTCTAAACATCAGTTTCAGTAGAATAGTACTATATAGTGAGCCTTGACTATTTTTTTGGTTCTAGTTTAATGTTAACATATTATCGAGTCGTATGACTGGACTCTTGACCATGGCCATGCCTACACCAGCCTTGAGCCTGTACGAGTTCCTTTCTGAAGCAGAGCTGTCACAGTATTACAGTCTTCTCAAGAATGACCTAAAAGTGACCACTGTAGCTCAGCTAAAGTACGTGGAGGAGGATGATCTCACGCAGTTGGGAATGAGTAAACCCGAGCAGCGACGACTACGCAAGTATTTCCAGAAGGTTTACCCTCAGACCTACCTCAGAAAGTTTAAAAATGTGTGTATTTACTGTCTGATAATTGTTCTTATACTGAGCTTAAAAAAAGTCAATGTTTTTACTTTTGTAGATTAATTATAATGTCTAGTGAGAAATTTGTTTCCAATTGGCATCTTGGTAGAAATACTTTTAATGAAATATTGGGATTTAAAGTTTCTTGTGAGTAGGTATGTATGAGAGAAATATTTCCAAAATCTGAAACCTTGAAAAATACATTATGGTAGCTTCTTTGTAAACAAAGCTTGCAACATGCATTAAACTGGATTTGTTCAGTCACATTGATTATCATGGTGACTAAATGAATTTGTTAGAAGTTACTTAGAGAATTAAAAATGTTCTTATGTACAATAGTTTTACATTATGAAAATGTTGTACTTAGTTATTTAATCAGTTTTTTAATAACTTCTTATATGGATGAATTTATCAAGTTTAATCAACAAACTGTAGCATCAAAATCTTGTTACCAAATTGCATGATATATTTATTCAGACTGGAAAAAAATTTACTGTACACACTTACACACAATAGGACCTTTTTGTAAAAAAACATGTTTGATAGCTAGGTATGTTAAACTGTAGACATATTAGAATATAGTTTACTGAGCGTTATTCAAAAAGTAGCTGGAGTACCCATCCCCTGGTTGGAAGTTATGTAACTTTATAATTAATGAAAGGTTATCTTAGGACATGAAAAGCTGCTTTCCTTTAATTGTAAACAATGCCCATAAAAACAGTAAAACACAATATGAAAAACTGAAAATTTGTATGAATCTCCATACCAAATTTGATGAAGATCCATCCATACCATGCAAAGTAGTTACATGGACATACAACAGACAGTACTGTTATATTTATATAGATTAGGATCTAGGTTTTGTGCTGTGTATTAAGGGTTAGTTTTTAGAACACAGAACACCAGTGTGGATGTTTACATTTCAAATTATTTACTTCCTAAATTTCACTGTATGCATTTTAAAGTTTACTTCATAGCTTAGCAACATAGCGATGAATATTCTTCACAATAAAGTCTTTAGTTAAGAGGTTCTCAACTTACTTTGATTAAATAATTCTGTACAATATAAGATTTCTGGAAGTAATGCTTTTTTCTTTGCTTTTTCCAGATGATCCTTCCAAAGTCGAAAGATAACATAGATCGCAGTTCAATTGTATTTTTAGACTCTGTTGCAGACAGGAACCCTGTTCGTGTACCAAGCAAACATATTATCCCTGCAGACAGTATTATTATAAACAAAGAACTAGGGATTGGTGAATTTGGTGTTGTTCAGCAAGGTGTTTGGACCAATGAGGATGGAGATAGGGTTGGTACTAATCATGGAAACTACTGTTAATTTACAAATTCCTGTGTGGTTGAATGTAATTAAATGAATTTAGAGAATGTAATAACTAAGTTTACATGTAAGTGTTTTATATAAACATATTATTATTTAATTAAACATTTTATATAGTTTTGAATAAAATAAAATTTACAAGTGGTCCCTTTAAATGAAAAAAATTAAAACCATGACCTTCTTTCTTTACAACAGATCCAAGTGGCAATTAAGTGTCTCAGCAAAGACAGAATGCAGAATAATCCAATGGAATTTTTAAAGGAAGCTGCAATCATGCACACTATTGACAATGAACACATTGTACGGTTGTACGGAGTTGTCTTGGACACAACCTCGTTAATGTTGGTCAGTTGCATTATTACAATAGCCTTTAATCCAGTGAAGGTTCACTGTTACAGAGATTGTAAGGCTCTTATTCGTGATATTAATAACATACGTAAACAAAAATAAAGCTGTCTTAGTCAGAAATTAATCTGGTAGAAGTTAAACTTTTCACATTTTATCCAAAAGACAAATATTGAAAGAATGTTTCTATTGAATGATCTCTATTAACCATTTTTGAACTTTCCATGAATAGAATGTTTGTGTTTAACTTTTACCAAAGAAATAATTTTTAAAAGCCACGTATCATTTAAGAGACTGGAAATCAATTAAAAATTAAATTTGTACAAAATAAGTATAACATACCAGGTTAATTATTCAGTTTAAGGATAATGGGATTTGACATCTGGTTTAAAGGTAACGGGACTAGACACCTGGTTTACAGGTAACGGGACTAGACA